CGGTGCATTTATACAAGTGAACTTAATGTAACTACAATCATTCATAGACAAAATTAGTACTTTTGTGGAGACAGTTGAACATATCCTGTTCACTCCTACTCTTATCTACAAACTCTAACTGAATATCTATAGACACACTGATTGCAGTAAGTGTTGAAGAGTAAGATTCTTCATGGTCATTCGCGAATCGAAGTTGTCAGTCGTCATATCACATCACTTGATGTTACTGATAATGTAGGTCAGTTCCGATCAGTTATGTGAACAAAATAGTCCAGTCCATTCTGGATTAACAACAAACAGTTGATTACCTCAAACGAAATTCATTCAGGTGAATTACGAATTCCAGTCATTAAGCTCAAACAGAACTAGTAATATTAGTGACTGAATATTGAAGTCTGTCTGTGAACTGCGACTGCAGTTCGTTAATCATTATCATGCTTCACGACAACTCTTCCTCACCCACCCACTCATTGACAAACGAAATTGTCATAGTTGATTAACTGTACTTCAATCCTCACACCAACATTCTCATCATTACGGAACATGAAACGAGATGATAAATGTGAAGTTTGGTGGTTTTTGAGACACAACATCGAATCATGCAATATTCGATAGTTCGAATCCATATAGTCAGTGTTAATGGAATCCGACACACAAGTCTGTTGTATTTTGCAAATTCACTAACTCGATTCGCAAACACTTTGTCGGACCTTCTATTGACTGCATGATCACTTCAAAGAGGATTGGAGTTGATGAATTTCAATTCCATGACATACAAGATGAAGATGAAATTCAACACATCGATTATTTATCTGTTCAGTTCCTGACAATCAATAATTCAATCAATATCATATGAGATCCTAACACAATCATCAATATATATCTACACGAACAAATAGTTGATGGAATCAATACCTAGAACGAGAGCGGTTTACATGCTGTGTGTTTATCAGGTGTTTCCATAGAATAAATTATGTTAAACAGATTGAAATATACCACTTCCATTGTGGTGTGTAGCATTACAGTATCTACAACTCACAATGACGTCAGATTTACTAAACACAACTCCAACCACATTCACCTCAAATAGATCCAATTCATACCATCTAATCATTTATAAACTCATCCGATTCATCAACATTCGTTTCCCTATTCACTTCGTCTTCATTCAACAGTCAGTCAACAATGATGACCATATCAATGTGAGTTAATTATTATAATAAGTGGTCATTTCAAGTTATCTTACACCAATATCCGTTATCTTATCAAGTTGTCATGATAACAACAGCAACTAAATATCATATCACATCTACACAATATACAATCATATTCATTGTATTAGTCTAATAATCAAGTTGCTACATACCAAATGCCCACAACATACACTCCCAGAATGTGTGCGTGTGTGTGTGAGAAAGAGAGAAAGAGGGAGACTGAGAGTAGAGTATAATCACATATTGTTTTATGTTGACATACATAAATCCAATTCTACAATCCAGTTTACATTGTTATCTGTGTTTGCCCATTCAACATACCGACACACCAATTCATCATTGTAATAATGGGTTAAGTTGAAAGTGGTTATGAAATGAATCTGTGATCAAATTCAATCTACGATTACTACGTCAACTTACAGACCTATAATTTAGTATAATTCATATTCTATGCTCATGTGAACTCATTGACAAATGGAGAAATTGTAACCGTGTGGGTGGTGAGAAGTTGGCATTGCAACTGAGGGAGAATGATTTCAACTATCCGTAATATTTCTTACCAAAACATTATGCATTCCATAATTTCCATACATTGATCAATTGATTTTACAAAACTGTGATGTGTCGGAGTAGTTGAGTAAATCGAGAGCAGGAAGAAATACTAGCAAATGAAGGAGATCACGTACAAATGACTTAGGGATCCAACTTGATGTAGGATACATTATTGTGATGGTGATATTCACATAGATTATCGACTGACTGCAACTTCGAAATACCAGTTGATTGTTGGTGATTTCAAATCACTGAGCTGAGAACAGACGATTGACACATGCCCTTCAATCCGAATACTCATCTCAGTTGGAAAATGCCTGTTGAACGTGATTGGGATAATTGGTTATGTTCACCCCAACCACTATTGATGTGAAGGTGACCAATCAGTATTAGGAAATCATATCCATTCTCTCTAAAACTGTTAGTCTCAGAATAGAGACTAAGTGAGTTGGAAATAACAAATGACATATCATCATTGCACCACAATCAGAAGAGACGACAACTGCATCCATCAAACAATACTGTTCAAATTGAGATTCACACATGTGGAACAGTTGACAGAAATATGTTTGTGATACTCCATTAAATATGTATTGTCTCAGCTTAAACACAACAATGCACATGTCAATCGTTCCATTGAAAATAACAACTGAACTGTTTCGCTGTTCATTCTAAATCGATTCAAACCTATTCAGATATTCTACAGATCTGAAATTGTGTAAAATAGTGGTCCACGATCTAAAATAAACATCATCTGTGTGTTTGAAATGTACAACGTGATCGACTGTTTACTCGAACTTCGTGGATTGGTTGAAGTTAGACATTAACACCGTCAGATGCCGGCCAGCTCAGTGGTCTATCGGTTAACTGCTTTTGCGCGAGACTGGTAGGTCCCGGGTTCGTGGATGTGCAGTGCTGGAAAGTCTCACAACATGACGAAATGGCCGTCCAGTGCTTCCAGATTTTCCATGGTGCCCTAGCTTCAATTGACTCACGATTTCAACTATGAAAATACTAAATCTTCACAAATCCCCTTCTGATTATGATCATATGCTCAATAGTGACTGACTTCAAGATACATGTCCTGGAGTTCGAGTGCGAATCAGTGACCAGTGGAGTTCAACCACGTCTGTTGTGAGATTACAACTCACTGAAGACAACTGGTAAACGGTTGCTCAAACTTCGTGATCGACTGTTTGTTTATTCATGTTCTCAATTGGAGATTATGAATTGGGAGATTTCGCATGTATGTGTGTGTGTCCATTTTACTAAATACATAATAGAGAAATGAGACTAAACACTGTCAGTGGATTTAGGATAAACCAAAAGTCGAATGAATGTAAATTTGACAAGACAACATTCACAATAAGAGATCATATTTATCTGCCTATCTCTCATTGACTAGTTGAACAGCACACCATGACATTAGAAACCCAGTTACCTCTAGTGTCTTTAAGATGAGTGATTTAAATATGTCGATGCCACATGCTACTATAATCTTCCAGCATTAACACAATAACTGAAGTGGCGACTACTACTATTAGTATCAACACTAATACTCAGATATATGAACACATTAAATATTTTCATTCAATCACAATTATTACTGAATGTGAGTATAAATACAGATTCAGAACCTTCTTGTAGAGTTAAGTTAAACTCTCATGAACTCGAACCATATATCGGCACCATATATCAAGATCCTCATTCACAACCGACTTTCGTCTTATGTAATCCTCTTCATATCACACAATAACATGAAAATACCTACTTAGTCAAAATCAAAAGTAGAAAGCATGAGTCAATTGAAGCTAGACCACCATGGAAAACCTGGAAACACTGGACGGCCGTTTCGTACTATTATGGGACTCCTCAGCAGTGCGCATCCACGAACTCGCTCTCGCGAGATTCGAACCCAGGACCTACCAGTCTACTATGAAAAATGCCAAATCTCCACAAAACCCCTCTGATAATTGATATAATCATATGCTCACTAGTGACTTCGAGAAGTATATCTAGGAGCTCTAGTGAGAAGCAGTAACCAGTGGTGTTCAAAACCACGTCTGTTGTGAGATAGGAACTCACTGAAGACAATTGGTGAATGGTTGCTCAACTTCGTGGATCAGTTGAAGTTAGACATTAACACCGTTGGATGCCAGCTCAGTGGTCTATCGGTTAAGGGCTTCGGCTCGAGACTGGTAAGTCCTGGGTTCAAATCTCGCGAGAGCGGGTTCATGGGTGTGCACTGCTGAGTAGTCCCATAATAGGACGAAACGGCCGTCCAGTGTTTCCAGGCTTTCCATGGTGGTCTAGTTTCAATTGATTCATGCTTTCTACTATGAAAAATACTGAATCTCCACAAAACCCCTTCTGATAATTAAAATCAAAAGTCATGTAAATATAGTCTAAATTATTATCAATCAATATTAGACAAACATATGGGAAATGGAAAGTAGCAGATATCTGGATAATATGTTATACTAGAATGAATATGCGAAACCTTATGGTAAACAGTGATATCCTCAGAAGTGTCACTGTTACACATACACACACGAAGACAACAGACAGAAGACTTTGACTCAATTGTGATGGATTATTCGACTTCAAATCTACATTCGGTCACCATTTTTCTATCTTCATCAGTAAACAGATGATATTCATATCAAACACACTTTCCCCCTCCTCATTTTCTCATGAATTTCTACAAACAAACAATGAATATAATCACCACAGACACATACACATTCAATTAACCATCATAACAACAACACGAGGACATCAACAACAACAACAACAACAAGAAGTTCAACCATGTTTATTTGATTCCACTCCTCTCATTCATCAAATTTTTCTCATTCTCTCCCCCCCCCCATTACTTTCAACCAATCAGTCAATGATGCGTTCAATCCCATTGTGTTCTCATTGGTCCATTCATTATGAACCAATGTAGAGGTAGACAATTCAATAAACCTGTTGATTTTTGCCCTAACAATTATCCAGTTCCTTTGATTAACACAGAATCACATTCTCTTCTTCACACACACACACACACACACACTATTGATACTACTTATTATTGTAATAGAGAACATTAACATTACCACTGTGAACAGTGATAGTTCATTACGATTCATCACTTGGATGTGATGTGGAATACACAAGGAATAAATCAATCATATTGAATAAAAAGCATCAAAGTAACCACTTCCAAATACCACTTCACTCACACTCACATTCACATTCACGGAATTTTTGCAAACTCACTATTCACTCGTTTCTTATATCATGTCATGTAATAATACACTTCCATCAAACATCTTCTCCAATCATCATCAATTCATGCAAATGTATGATAGTCACGATGATAACATTAATAATCATAATAATAACATTACCCATTCAACATCCAACTGGTTTATACCACAAACTACACAAATGATCTCATCGGTATTACCCATTCCCAATTCTACCTTTTCTACATCTCTGATTCACACCATGGATAATCACAGTTATTCTCATTCATGTTCCTTGCAAACAGATCCATTCAGTCTACCATTCGAAACATCACCTCTTCATCCAAATACTATTCATCATTACAATGAGAATTATAATCGACATCTTCATTCTGGTGTACAACAGTACAACTCCTTGTTCAATCCATATCACAATTACATCAATCGATGGAACAATGTACAGATGAATAATGTCAATCCTCCTGTAGAAGATGCCACACTGAATGTGACCAAAACGATGAGATTACATCGTAATCATCATTCACAACGTCGTCAACATCATCGTCATCATAACAATCATCATCGCCATAACCATCAACAACTACAACAACAACAACAGTTCCAATCTCACAACATCAAACCATGTGATCTGATCACAGAAGATGAACCAAAGCCGAATTTTAGTTATATTGGTAAGTCTGTAGTTGATTGATTGCATGAATGCATGACAATTTTCATGGAATATAGAGGATATTGTTTGTTGATTTCATTGAGTGAATTATTTGTTGGATTCCACATTCATTTTCAACAAGGAATACTCGATGTACTCTGTGGCTGATTGTAAATGAGGAAGTGAGATTTGTGGTGGGGTCGGTATTTTCATGACTGAATTGATGAGGAAGATCATTCTGAGTGGAATTAAACGCACACTGTAGTATCTTCCATTAAACACGATTAACTATTTACGTGAAATGTACGTCACATTCTGACATCTGTTCAAGTGTCACATGCATGACAAACGACTAATCTGTTCATTCCTTAAATATAAACCAACAACGGGAGAATACTTGCACTGATTAATCGAGATAACATTTCTTTGATTGTAGTTGGAAGAACACAAGTTAGTGAATACGAGTTTGCCATAGTACGAAACACACATTCTCTCCATTCATTCCTACGTACACACTCATAACAATTCAGTAGTTCGAATTTAATAACTCTGAACAATAATATTTTCAATAGTTGAGATCATTAGTCAAGTGAAGCTAGACCACCATGGAAAACCTGTAAGTACTGGACGGCCGTCTCGTCCTATTGTGGGACCCTTCAGAAGGGAATTTCCACGATTCCGCATCTAGCTTCAGTTAACTCATGATCTAAACTATTGAAATTACTATAATATCCGCAAAAAGCCCTTCTGATGATAATATTTCCGTTGAAAATATAGAATGAGAAATTGGCTACCAGTAGCTGGATCTTAATTGAACTGTCACAAAAATTCAATATTGACAAACAAATGAATGTTCGATGAATTAGAACACGTCACAGAGGTCGAATGCATACCATCATATCATTTAATCTAAACTGATATACCGACTGTCTGTAATGTGTCTCATATGATTCAATGAACACAATTTCTGAGTTAAATCTGCTTGTGATCGTGTAACACTGCTGAATCGACTTGATCTCTGTTGACTTCAGATTAGTCAATTATCCATTCAATTATTCAGCTGTGGCTTATGTCTTTTGATCTCGCAGTTGATGCTTTTACCAGAAATATGTTCAATGTAGTTCGAATATTCCACTCAGTTGTTCAAATGTAGATAAAACACTACTGGATTGTAAGTGCACATAGACAAACACGGTATTCAACATCAGTTCTTGTTTGATCGAATGCTCTTGTCCAATTGTGATGATACGATAGGTTGATTACTCTGACACCATAACCACCTCCTTCATCATCCCATTAATTAGGATTGTACATATTGAAATGTATACATATACATTCTAAATTTCTCAGTTGGTGTCATTACACTTTTATCCCAATCTACATCACTTCACCAACTACATTCTCTTCATTACTGAAAATATCGGATTGCATTGAAATTTTGTAGATCAGATGTTACATTTATCGACTTCAATGGAGGATGGATTACATAGAATATTCAACCAACTACTACAGCTTAACAGTGTGGTTTCTGATGAATTCACAAGACATAGTAGCTCGTCATTACGGAACTTCAGTGGATAGTGGTTTACTGTCCATCCACCAACCAATTATCTATCTGCACTTACAATTGTTCACATCAAATGTGGACATTGAATGTGCATAGACATTTGTGGAGTTCCACAGAGTACAGCATCCCACCAACACCAGTATGTATTCCTATAATCTTGTTGAGTCCTTCAGTTAATTTATTCAACAGATTGTCTCATTAGAACAATAACTAGTTGTCTACATATTCGTGTTATTACTATTATTATCTTGTGTATGAGCATGTATGCTTGGTCATGTGTCACAGCCTTCATTGATCTCCCTCTTACTAACTGAAATGTTAATTGCTTAAATCGATCAGTCACTCATTCGATTCCCACAAATATGGATAAATGTGCTCCCTAAATCTTATCAATTCATTTGTCTCATTATTCACCGTCAATGCCTCTCATTCACATTTTTTCCCATATTCGCTTTGTGTACTTGTGGCTTTGTGATCTCAGTTGTACAATAACCAACAGTGTTCAACACTTCGAGTTGTAATCTGTACTTAATACCCTGTTTGGAGTTATCAAATGATGGTTATTAGGACGACTGACATTTACTAACCATTAGGAATTATCTCGAAAACATTCCACGACATATATTCATCACTCAACTGCTGATTCAGTGGAGTGAAATACTAGTACAACTAATATCGTAAAATCCTAACAGAGATGGAAGAGACTTCGAATGTGCATGAATGGATTTACTTATTGTTATATGTAGAGCTTTAGGTTCTTGCTATGTCGCGTACTACGAGACTACTTGAAAGATCGAACCCGCAGCATCGCAAGAGAGAAGACAGAAGACTAGTAAGTAGGAATGTTATACCAAACAGTGTCAAATATAGTACAAAAATCTCATGTATTTATAGTTTTTTGGCTTGAAGTAAATCATCATTTCGGACAGCCAAAAAGCACAAAGCGTGTCCTTATTCATGCGATAGGGAAGCTACACGTTGACATTCTAGAATGTACCCCTAACGGTGATTGCATGGAATGTCTTTGACTCTTTCTGGGTTTCTTGAACCTTCCTTGAGTTTGCCAACGAACCATCCTTACACACATCACCACAAATCGGATTGTTTTATTTACACGTTCCCATTAACATCACTGTTTCGATTAAGTCAAGTTGAGTATTACTACACAATACTTATTATGATCATATGAAATATTCATTCCACATTTCCCATACAATTTGCTTTAATCTACATCCATTTTATTGGTGATCGAATATTCCATATAGAATCACCCGTTAATGTTCCACCTTCCATTTCAACTTATCATTACAAGGAATAATAACTTATTATTATTACTAATGACCACTTATGACGTAATCATAATTGATTGTGTAATACAATCCACTTTCAAGTTCCTTTCATTGAAGTGTACGTGTGTGTGTTTTTGTTTGAACGTTAATTAACGCTGATCGGTAAAGAATATGCTCAATAATCATTTCTGATATCGGTGATGATGAGGTTATAAACAAGAAGTTGTGTTATAGTGTAATGATGACATCAGTTAGTTTGTGTTTGTGTTTGTGTGTGTGTGGGTGTTTCAATTGGCATGGTAAACAGAATGTCGAGTAACCTTCAATTAATTTTCAAAATGTTTTGATTTTCAGATCATCCACATCTATTCACCAATTACACAGTGGTTCCAATGAAAGAGAACAGTGTGTTAATACATCCTGATCAATTGTTTTAATGTTTTGCCTGTGAGCTAACAGTACGAGTGTGTGTGTGTGTGTCGGGTGAGTGGATGATACATCTGAAGTTGATGTAGACTGTAATCAATACAAACAGTTTCATTGCTGTTTCTCACAGAGTGGTTTGCAACAATCATTCGCTTGTTTGTGATTGAGTGTATGTACTGTGAAAACAGTAACACCTCTCTTTTCACACTCACCCTATAATAATAATAACAATAACAATAATAATAATAATGATAGATGTAGTATGCATAATCATTCATAATTATGGTGTACAATTATGAGTAGAGTGAAGGTAACATTTAAATGAACAGTACATATATGGTGAATGATGAATTCCATATGTGATAAAGTCGAAATGAAAATTATCGTCTCTCTGAATTGTCTCAATTATTCTTCATATTCACTAGTATTATCATCACTATTCAGTAGTAATAACCACACAACTGATGATCGGAAATGGAAACAAACTCATTGGAAAGTGAACTGATAGAATTCATTTGTGATTGTTTGTGTAGGTCTTCTTTCCATCTAGGATAGATGGCAAGATAAATGATCTACCTCATCATTTCCTCTTCACATTTGTCTACTAATAAGTAGTTGTTGAATGTTGCACAAAATAATTAGTGATAACTCCACACTCTGTACAACAATCGTTTTTAGGGAATGTTGGGCATCAAATAATAGCAGCGGAATCTGTGATATAGTGATAGAAAATCAGGCAGTCAGAGATTATGTTGTTGACTTCAGTATTGATTAACACTACTGAACATACAACAGTCTTATTGTAGAATTCACACAACTGACATCCATTCACACAATCGAAGAAATCTCAACAACACAACATCCAATTTCACTACGTTCTCAATCCACCATCAAACACTTTGTTGGTTCATGATTGTGGTTACAGCAATTTACGTCGAACACTCGTGACGAGTTATCCACTCACAAAATTAACGCATGCACACTAGGCTTTAACAGAGAGTAATATGAACGAAGATCCAGATTCCAGAGAACTAGTATCTCAAAATAATCAGCGAATGAATTGGTAATTCCAGTAGTGCACACTTAAATCTCAATTGACTTGTCATTCAATAACAAATTATTCAGTAAAATTGATCATTTGTTTATTCTCTTCAATTAATTACAAACCTTCTAGGATTGATTGCAAAGGCCATACTCAGTACACAAGAAAGACGAATGATATTATCGGATATCTATCAATGGATTCAACTACGTTATCCATATTTCAGTACACGTGGACCAGGATGGCGTAATTCCATTCGACACAATTTGTCATTGAATGATTGTTTCATTAAAGTTGGTAAGTTGTTGAGTGTTGTGATAGTGTAATTGTTATTGTGATTGTGACGTTTCATTATTTGATTCATTCCATCATTAGAATAGTGTGGTTTCTTTACTGTAATAATCCGAATGATGATATTGAAGGTGTGGAGTCACTGGTAACCGGTCAGTGGTCATTCACTTTACATATCTCACTCACTTCATTCACGTATACTCATCGACACCTAATAACACGTGAGGAACTAACTCCTCACACTCAATCAACTCTGTCCGGATGACCATCAATAATCATGTGCTCACTAGTGACTAGTTTGGAGAGGGGTCGTGGATACACAATGCTCACGAATCCAATACTAAAATGAAACGGCCATCTAGTGCTCTCAGTTTTTCACTGGTGGACTAACATTGATCCATTTATCATACCAAACTAAATTCAACAATCTCCACATCACCATACTGATAATCATCAACAATATGTTAGACGGATACTCAATGTGAACTGGGAAAGGAACAACTACCTGTAAGTGAATATGTGAGGGAGACTGGTGATGGACGTAATCCACTCACTCTTAATTGTCACCATAAATAATAAGTAGACCAATGTGCATAGACGAAACAGTGATTTCCATGGAATATCACTCGTGACGAACATGTTCATAACCACTCATTGTAACTCATGGTTCACAATCCGTATTCCACATCACGGTTAATCAAGAACACAATTCAACCATTCAAACACAACATGTTGAAGATTGTTTCCTGATTTGCACAACCACACCCTACTCTCACTAAACACAATATCATGAATTTCATCAGGTGTTCGACAGTTCGAAAGTTGATTTCATGTAATTTATTTGCATGTTCCACACAATTTATCAGTCACCAAATGAATTTGATTGAAAAGTAATTGACATTATACATTTATTTGACAGGTAGAGCTGCAAATGGGAAAGGACATTATTGGGGAATTCATCCAGCCAACTTGAAAGACTTTCTCAGTGGTGATTTCAGAAGACGTAGAGCACAACGCAAAGTACGTCGTGCGTTAGGATTGAGTCGACCTGACGATAAAATTGATGATGATGATGATGACGATGATGGTGAATTTGGTGTTGGTGGTGATGGTGAAGGTGATTGTGGTGACGATGTTAGTGGTAATCGAGGTTTTGACCATGACTCACCACCACTCAATTATCCACTCAATCATCCATTCATTCCACAACTCTTCCAATGTCTACATCCACATATACCCACATATCAACTGATCAGCTCAGCAGTCACACCGAATTCATCTACAACACTCACAGCACACAAACACACATTCAATACTAAATCATCTAATCGACTAAATACATCAATACCACTCACAAACACAAACATATTTACACTTGATCAATTGACCGATTCTACAAACAACCAATACACAAACAATTCATCAAACATCACATCCCCTCTCCCATTCAATACATCACCTGTCCCACACATTTACAGTTCACACCTACTACCTCACCAAACATCGATGAATGCATCATCAACAAGTCGAATGAGCTATTCCAATGAATTCAAACAATCAACCCAATCAGTGAACACCGCCAATCAACTATGGAAATCGAGTTGCATCAATGACACATTGATGGATCTCTTCTACATCAATTTGATGCATTTACTCAAAAATCATCATTCATCCGTTCAAACTGACATGAATGATACATGCACATCAGACGAGTCTCTATTATTGGTTCCACATCCAACTGCAATTAACACTCATACTACCACTACTTCTACCATTAATAATAATAATACACATACTCCCACTACTACTAATACTAATACTACCAGTAACACTACTCATACAACGAATACTGGGATTCCTGTCAGTATTCCTATCACTGATCATAAACCAGTTGACTGTCAAAATGTAAATTCATCAGGTTCTTCACTCGATCCTGTGTTCCCCAAATCTCATCCACTCTCCACTCAACATCCAGTCAATGTTAGTTTCAATGTGATCAACTTGATTGATCATAAACTCAATCATCACAGTGATGCTCATCACGATCATATTGATGATGATCATGATGATGAGGGTGATGATGAGGGTGTTGTAAATAATGGTGGTCAAACCTCCAAACTGGTGAATTCACAATAGTGTTATATACAACGTGTAGAGGATCAGAAGACGGATATTGATCAGTATATCCAATTGAAATTACATTCAACAACATTCACAATCAATCAATCAGTGGATCAAACATTATCCAGTTCAAATGTATCTGATTCATTTCATAGTTTAGATAATCTATTAGATGACATGGTAACTAAGTAATTAACTCTTCATTATCTAATTATATTTGTTAAGAAGGTCATAACGTTATATGGATCGTTGATCTAATCGTTTGATTTTATTGTTGTTGTGGAAGATTTTTCAATGTTTAATAATAATTTTTATCTTCAATACTCTGTGATTTCAGAATTTTCTGTCAGCAACAACAAAAAGAAAGAGAAAAATCAATATCCGATGGCTTATAAAAATTCTTTTCCTTCTTATTCTTTTTTTTGTTTTGTTTTTGTATCTCCGTTTGAAACCTTTTTCTAATCCACCCTGATTACATAATTAGTTCTTATATAAAAAAACAAAACATTTTTTTATTGCCATCAATAGTAGTTCAATTAGATTGAATACTTTTTATACATCTGAATCCTCCCCCCTGTAAAGTTTTATTATATGTAACTGTTTTTTAGTGTCTTTCATTATGGATTGATTAATCAATTTTCCTTTTTTCCATTGGTTGCTTAGGGAAAAATTTTTTTCTATGGACTTTTTCCTTAATAAAAATATATTTTCTCTGTGGTTTGTGTTTTGGTTAACAAGATCCTTCTACAGAACTGAACGACCGTTCCGTCCTATTGTGGAAATCTTCAGCAGTGTTCATCCACGACCCCGCCTTGCAAGATTCGAACCCAGGATCTACCAGTCTTGCGCTAGAGTACTTAACCTCTAGATCACTGAGCCGGCATCCGATAGTGTTTATGTCTAACTCTAATCCATCCACGAAGTTGAGCAATCGTTCACCAATTGTCTTCAGTGAATTCCTATCTCACTTATCGAATGCCGGCTCAGTGGTCTATCGGTTAAGTGCTCTGGCGCGAGACTGGTAGATGCTGGGTTCGAATCTCGCGAGGTGAGGTCGTGGGTACGCACTGCTGAGGAGTCTCACAATAGGATGGAACGGCCATCCAGTGTTTCCAGGTTTTTCCTGGTGGTCTAACTTCAATTGACTCACGCTTTCAACTATGAGAATGTCATGATTAATTGTCTTCTTTTATTTGAACTTGGAAACTTCAGTAACGAAGAAAAAGACTCCAGATGTTGTTGAAATAAACATTTTGTATGTTATATTTATCACAGATTGATGTCAATTTGGATATTGTTGGTAACCAAAGAATAATAAATATGGGCTTTGTACTAATGTGAGATTATCCAGTGGTAAACAACGATTGTCTCATCCAGGTTAGAGTTCAGATCTTCCAGAATTTATGGTGACTATTTAATCATTAAAACTAATGAGTCAACGTTCAGTGGTAAAATAGTCAGCTTACCAGTGATTTACTTAAAGATGTTGCTGAAGTTTGATGGGGAAATTTTGACTGGTGGAACTCAGATATAGCAGATGTGAAACAAGTGACATAATTGGCATTGAATGCTACTTTAAGTTATATTCCAAAGTGACTGAAGTTGAAGTATTAGCAGCAAATACCGGCTCGGTGATTCTAGCGGTTAAACTTTATTCATAAGACCTGAAGTATCTGAGCCCGACTTTCGGTGAATTCATCAGTATGTGTTACTGAGAAATCTCATAAAAGAATTAAGCAGCGGTCCAGTAATCCCAGGTTTTCAATTATATCCTAACTGAAATCAGTCTATAGCAATTTCAACCTCCAAATGAAATCAGTCTTCATGAAGTTTAAACATCTCTATTTAAAAAGGCTAATGTGTATCACAACTTATGTATCTCCTAAAATGCCTGTTAGGCTTTAATTGTTCAACATGATACATTGAACATCTCTAACATCAATATCTTAAGCGTTTACTAGATTTCTAGAAAACTTAAACTTTTGAATTGCAAGCAATATCAGGAGATAAAAACAATACTACCAAACAAAGATGGATAGTGGCTAGCAGTGGAATCCAGGATGCGTGTTTCGTCCTATTTGAGACTCGTCAACTGGATGTACCTGCATCTCAGAGTTGATGTTCACTCTGAGACTCGAACCCAATGCTTTCGCTTCAAACGCCATCGCGTTATCCACTCAGCTACTGAGTCCTGATAGCCACTTGCATATGCAATGGGATGAAGCAAGAGATTGACCAGTTGTAGTCCTCTGAGATGTAGGTACATCCAGCTGACGACTCCCAAATAGGACGAAACGAGCGTCCTGGATTCCACTGCTAGCCACTATCCATCATTGCTTACAATGCTTGTGAATTTAGGCCATATCGAGCCAATACGCACAGTATGTACATATGCCAATAATAGACTGACCAGTTGCAGTCCTAAACATCAACGGGAAGATTCAAAAAAGTAATACTAAGTGAAAACTACGAAACGTTTAGCACAAGTGTTAGTCCCGCCATAGAAATCAAAGGGTAATTATATGGTTACTGGTGACCTTATAGCTCTGTATTCTTTTTGAAACTATGCTTATATCATCGATTATTTATATATAAATATTATCAGAAGAGGGTTATGTGGAGATTTAAGTAATTTTATATAGTTGAATTCAATAGTCAATTAAAGCTAGACCACCAAGGAAAACCTTAAATCACTAGCCGGCTGTTTCGTCCTAGTGACTGGCTTCAAGTTGTATTTCTTGGAGTTCTAATGAGAATCTGTGACCATTATAGTTCAACCAAGTCTGTTGTGAGATAGTAACTCACTGAAGACAATGGTAGATGGTTGCTCAATTTCGTGGATTGGTTGTAGTTAGACATTAACACCATTGAATGTCAACTCAGTGGTCTAGAGATTAGGCGTATTCTGTATTCCACTACTAGCCATTATCCATCATTGCTTAGTATTCTATAACTTGTTGTGTGAATACATATTTCCATAAAATACAATTAAGTATCACAATTGATTGATTACTGGGTGGTGATCAATGTCATGCGTATCAAGTCCTTCTTAGTACTGATCGAGTTCTATTGATCAAGTTACAATGTGACCACTAGTCTAGGTGGATCGACACTGCGTGCACTATATATTGAGATAAGATGGTGGTTAGAGGTGACATGGGATCGAATCCGTCATGGAGCACCAGTTCCCTAAAGATTACAAAAACACCTTGCTGACGAGGGCCACAAAACCCGGGTCCAGGGTTTCCTGTTGACCACTTCTAACCACAATCTTACAATTCAGTATCTATAATCCTTCTTAAGATGTGATGCATACACAATTGAAAAAAATTCGATTCCATACGTCATTCGTATTCCAAACCATTACTTGCCTTAACAAAAAGTCACAATAAAGAGCAACTCCTGACGTAGATTATATTTCAAATGGTAATTATAATTTCAGTATTCTTAATCCGATCATCAAATATTCATTCGAGATCGTTGCTAAAGTGTTAATTACACCGATCAAATTAACTTTAAGTTTGAATACCACTCAGCTCTATAAAAGATGGCATCAATAACGAACTATCTTCTATATCGGATTACAAATATTAGTTAGTAAGTGGATATCATTTATTGATCATTATCTATACAATACCTTAACTTCAAGTATAATATCAATATTAAACCAAATTATTGATATAAGCAAAGATAGATGGTTACTAGCAATGGAATTCAGTTTGACTCGCGTTCCTTCAGCTGGATGTACTTACATCTCAGAGTTGATGTCTATTGTGGGACTCAAACTCAGTACCGTTCACTTCAAACTTCATCACGTTATCCATTTAGATAATAAGTCCTGATAGCCACCTGCTTGTGTAATGGAGTAAAGTTTTAAATTCAGTTGATATTGTTTACTTATATCTTCCAAAAGCACTCAACTGTATCACAAGGCAAGCCCTCGTATAGAATCCTTAATGCCAAAGAAGAAAAGGAAGACCAAAGAACACATAGTATACAGAGAAATGGAGATTGACACGAAAGAATGAACAACAACTGGATAGAACTAGAAAGGGAGGCCCAGGACAGAGTGGGTTGAAGAATGCTGGTCGGCGCCATAAGCTCCATTGTGAGTAACAGGCGTAAGTAAGTAAGTACTTATATCTTCCCACTGTTATTATTCAGGACTTTAATTGATCAAATTAATTTCATGATTACACCATGTTGTTTTATAACAGATAAACTTTTAAAAAGATTAAATGTTAAATAGTAACTTATATGTATTCCCATCTACAAATGATTTTATTAGAAGGGGTTTTTGTGGATATTATATTAATTCTAACAGTTGGGATTATGAGTCAACTGAAGTTAGACCACCATGGAAAACCTGGAAGCACTGGACGGCTGTTTCGTCCTATTGTGGATGCGCACTACTGAGGAGTCCCACAATAGGGACAAGGGGACACACCACCAGCCTTTGACCTAAAAGGTCTGATCCACAAGGCAATGGAGCATCGTGAAGAGTGCTGTCCCATGGTAGCCAGTGACCAACTATTGATTCATATGCCATTTGTTCCTTCAGGATACTGGATCCCATGTGCATCATTGGTTTGGAGTTGGGGTTTTCCAACTCCCCTCGGTGAATTCGCCGTGTCCACCAACCTGGTTAAAGCGCTTGACATTCTCTTCTCATCCTCTCAATTTTGTGAACAACACCCCCGCCACGAGAAGGCAGTGAGTAAGACTTCCCTGGGAGAGGCTATATACGCGTGACCATATGAGAGCATTTGGAGAGGGAGAACGGACTCTCCCCACTCTCGATCGTACCAGGGCATTTGCATTATTCACAGTTTTTTTTTCACAGTAATCTTATCTGACAAACAACAACAACAAAAAGAAGATTCAACATGCAAACAACAAGTGAATCTCTTTCAATTTTCTTTCTCCTTTTCTTTAAAAAAAAATTTGTTTTTATGCAACATTATGCTTGTTTATTTGTTTTATATATCGATTTTTTTTCGGACAAATCACGTGTCGTTCTTGTTTGAATTCTCAACTTCTGTTGCTATTCTTGTTGTTGTTGCTGATGGGGGTGGTGTCCATGTTGGTGATGATGATGGTGATGGGGGTAATGGTTTCCATCTGTGGGAAATTTGAAACCATACTGTTATTCTATTTTGATTATTTGTTGTTTTTTTCTTTCATGATTAAACTTCTTTTCTTTTTATTTAGGGAAACCATATTTATTTATTTATTTGTTTATTTATGTTTCAAGATGGTTACTGATGTTCTGATGGGGGTTTCCTTTTTTAATCGAATGATGCACGCAAATTATTCCCTTTTCTTTGAACATTAGATTACAATGAAGAAGTATGGTATTCAATTACATAATTTTTCATTATATTCAAGTTTAATTGGTATCATGTAAAATGTTATAAACAATTCTATTTCATTATAAGAAGGGGGTTTTGTGGAGATTTTAGCGATTTTATATAGTTGAGATCATGAGTCAATTGAAGCTAGATCACTATGGTTAACCTAGAAGCACTGAATGGCCTTTTCGTCCTATAGTGAGACTCCTCAGTAGTACGCATCTACGATCCTGCCAGGTCTGTTGGGAGATATCAACTCACTGAAGATATTGGTGAATGGTTGCTCAAACATCGTGAATTGGTTGAAGTTAGACATTAACACCGTTGGATGCCGGCCGGCTCATTTGTCTAGTGTGTAAACGCTCGCGCGCGAGACTTGTAGGTACTTGGTTCGGATCTCGTAGGACGGGATCGTGGATGCGCACTGCTGTGGGGTTCCACAATAGGATGAAACGGTCATCCAGTGCTTTCAGGTTAACCATGGTGGTCTAGCTTCAATTGACTCATGATCTCAACTATATCAAAAATGAACTCTGTTAGTCGAATTGTAATGCAGCCATCAGTCTAGGTGACTCGAGTTCGCTTAGATTATTTTAACACATTAGATGATTTTAAGTAGTTGACAAACAACCTTCCACCTAGGTTTATGCTATTGAGTACACATTGACAATGTGTACCGGTAATGTTGAAGAAACTAATACTCTGTATAGGACACGAACCTTCATAGTCTAGCTTTATAAACTCAGGTATCACTACTAAAATATACAAGCAGCGACGAACTTTTTGTAGGACACAGATATTTACAACAATTGACTCGCTTAATGAATAGCCCAGCGACGGAATTCAAGTTTGTAAAACTGGATAACGAAGAATCCTAATCCCACTTCAAGAATTAGTTTCCACAAGAGTTTAGGTACACCTAGAGGATAAGTGTTAGCTAATGTAAAACTTGAGTCTAAGGCTTCCTCTAGACTACCTTCAACTAACTAAGATTTAGTAAACAAGATATTCACTTTCTATGTGATTTGTACTATATTTAAATCGAAATAAAAAGATGGGATTAATGAAATCAACCCTATCGAAATTGAGTTATTAAATTGGTAATGACAGTGAATATGAACTCAAATCGATTGATAAAGTAGTGAAGCTTCATCTGTTCAGATGGCTGGGACATGTGTTAAGTATGCACAACCACCGACTACCCCGACGTGCAATGTTTTATGGTGTAGGAGTAGGTTGGAAGAAAGCTAGGGGTGGCCGGACCAAAACGTGGCACAAATCCATGAGGTCACTTACTGACAAGTGGACTGAGTCAGGTTGGTAGGTGTAGACTACCTGGTTGGGATCCTCGAGATAGTAGCAATCGATGGTTTGAGATCTTCAATGACATGGCTCAAAATCGTTTGCAATGGCAAAGGTGCATCCACTATTTGTGTTCTCCCAAATTCTAATCTAAATTCTTAATTTGAATCAATAACTGCATCTTTGTGCTAGTGTGATGTGGCAACTCGAACTGATGAACGTACGTATGAAGTTCTACGTTGTGAGTGACTGACTGTGAATATGAATTATTTGGTATAACGAGTATTCATATGCATAAAACATGATAATTCATAAATTAGCTTTTATATACCACAAATCATTTGACATAAGATTCTAGTTAATCAGTCAGCATATTTGATGAATTGTAAAAGTATAGCACGGTTATAATGTCGTATGGGTTACTTAGATCCACATAAGTAGTATATAACAATGGACAGGTATTGAATGCATTTCAGTAGAAGATTGATAAGGAAAAAACCGAAATGGAACGCAATTGGTATGAAAATGCATGAACAATAATAATCGGAGACAAACGACTGATATTTGCAGAAGAAACAGTCAAGATTGAGACAATAGATTGGTAGCTTGAAAATTGCTTGTTTAGTGAGATTTTGTGCTCATGTACATTCGATTGTCCCCACCCGTGTTCTTGTTCACTAAAATAACACATCTTATTGTAAGCTACTTAAACGACTATTGAATTTCAACCTTAATTAAACAGCCATTAAAAACCAGAATGTATAGAATAGATGTTTAGTCTTAGTATGAAAATATTGAGTAGTCTTCATCTACGGCACTATCACTGACTGAATCTACAAAATTCAAGCATCCTATTGAACCCCTAACTTTCAGATTACTGAGTTGATATACAACTTCAGCCAATTCATAACACCGTCCAATTATCATTCATTATCATTTGTTATATTTATCATATTACTCGACTACAATGTTCAAAACACTGAAGAAATCACCCAACAGCATCACAAGACAAGCCCTCACATAGAATCCTGAAGGCCAAAGGAAAAGAGGAAGATCCAAGAACAGATTACGCCGAGAAATGGAGATAGACATGAGAATAATGAACAACGACTAGATAGAACTAGAAACGAAGGCTCATGACAGAGTGGGTCGGAGAATGCTGGTCGGCGGTCTATTCGTAAGTAAGTAACAATGATCAAAAGTCATCAAAACGATCAATTAACCGTATACCATTTCCTAATTTCCAATTCTTACCTTAATTACTTAATTTTTTTCTGGTTAGCGTTTTTTTAGCGAGTTGGTTTTCTACGGGATGGAGTCACTGACCCCATACCTAACCCTCCTCGTTTATCTGGGCTTGGGACCGGCAGTAGCCCCTGGAGGAGCTACAGGAGGAGTTTCTTACCTTAATAACAAAATAAAATAAACATTTCACAGAATTAGTCTTTGAATATTGAAAGAAAAAGATCAATAAATTTACACAGTTTTAAAAGGGTTCCTACATGAAACAATTAAAATGATATTTATCAACAGGGGGTTTTGTTGAGATTTTAGTATTTTTATGTAGTTGAGAACATGAATCAATTGAAGCTAGACCACCATGGAAAACCTGGAGGCACTGAAAGGCCGTTCCATCCTATTTTGGGACTCCTCAGCAGTACATATCCACGATCTCGCCTCGCGAGATCCGAACCCAGGACCTATCAGTTTCGCGTGCGAGCGTTTAACCACTACATCACTGAGCCAGCTGGCATCCAGGTTTTCTATGGTGGTCTAGCATCAATTGATTCATGATCTCAACTATATAAAATGTTATTTGTCAATAATGAACAGTCGTTTCCATCGGATACAAATGATCAATTAATATAAATCGATGAATAATCGATACTAAAACAGTAAAGAAAAATAATTTAAAAAAAGTTTGTACACAATGCAAAATAGTGAACACTATCAAATTGTTTATTTACATAATGTATAATCTAATGGATTATCTAAACTATGAAATGAATCAGATACATTTGAACTGGATAATGTTTGATCCACTGATTGATTGATTGTGAATGTTGTTGAAGTCACCAGTTTGGAGGTTTGACCACCATTATTTACAACACCCTCATCATCACCCTCATCATCATGATCATCATCAATATGATCATGATGAGCATCACTGTGATGATTGAGTTTATGATCAATCAAGTTGATCACATTGAAACTAACATTGACTGGATGTTGAGTGGAGAGTGGATGAGATTTGGGGAACACAGGATCGAGTGAAGAACCTGATGAATTTACATTTTGACAGTTAACTGGTTTATGATCAGTGATAGGAATACTGACAGGAATCCCAGTATTCGTTGTATGAGTAGTGTTACTGGTAGTATTAGTATTAGTAGTAGTGGGCGTATGTGTATTATTGTTATTATTATTATTATTATTATTTTTATTATTATTATTGGTAGTAGTAGTGGTAGTAGTAGTAGTAGTAGTAGTAGTAGTAGTAGTAGTAGTAGTAGTAGTAGTAGTAGTGGTAGTGGTAGAATGAGTGTTAATTGCAGTTGAATGTGGAACCAATAATAGAGACTCGTCTGATGTGCATGTATCATTCATGTCAGTTTGAGCGGATGAATGATGATTTTTGAGTAAATGCACCAAATTGATGTAGAAGAGATCCATCAATGTGTCATTGATGCAACTCGATTTCCATAGTTGATTGGCGGTGTTCACTGATTGGGTTGATTGTTTGAATTCATTGGAATAGCTCATTCGACTTGTTGATGATGCATTCATCGATGTTTGGTGAGGTAGTAGGTGTGAACTGTAAATGTGTGGGACAGGTGATGTATTGAATGGGAGAGGGGATGTGATGTTTGATGAATTGTTTGTGTATTGGTTGTTTGTAGAATCGGTCAATTGATCAAGTGTAAATATGTTTGTGTTTGTGAGTGGTATTGATGTATTTAGTCGATTAGATGATTTAGTATTGAATGTGTGTTTGTGTGCTGTGAGTGTTGTAGATGAATTCGGTGTGACTGCTGAGCTGATCAGTTGATATGTGGGTATATGTGGATGTAGACATTGGAAGAGTTGTGGAATGAATGGATGATTGAGTGGATGATTGAGTGGTGGTGAGTCATGGTCAAAACCTCGATTACCACTAACATCGTCACCACAATCACCTTCACCATCACCACCAACACCAAATTCACCATCATCGTCATCATCATCATCATCAATTTTATCGTCAGGTCGACTCAATCCTAACGCACGACGTACTTTGCGTTGTGCTCTACGTCTTCTGAAATCACCACTGAGAAAGTCTTTCAAGTTGGCTGGATGAATTCCCCAATAATGTCCTTTCCCATTTGCAGCTCTACCTGTCAAATAAATGTATAATGTCAATTACTTTTCAATCAAATTCATTTGGTGACTGATAAATTGTGTGGAACATGCAAATAAATTACATGAAATCAACTTTCGAACTGTCGAACACCTGATGAAATTCATGATATTGTGTTTAGTGAGAGTAGGGTGTGGTTGTGCAAATCAGGAAACAATCTTCAACATGTTGTGTTTGAATGGTTGAATTGTGTTCTTGATTAACCGTGATGTGGAATACGGATTGTGAACCATGAGTTACAATGAGTGGTTATGAACATGTTCGTCACGAGTGATATTCCATGGAAATCACTGTTTCGTATATGCACATTAGTCTACTTATTATTTATGGTGACAATTAAGAGTGAGTGGATTACGTCCATCACCAGTCTCCCTCACATATTCACTTACAGGTAGTTGTTACTTTCCCAGTTCACATTGAGTATACGTTTAACATATTGTTGATGATTATCAGTATGGTGATGTGGAGATTGTTGAGCTTAGTTTGGTATGATAAATGGATCAATGTTAGTCCACCAGTGAAAAACTGAGAGCACTAGATGGCCGTTTCATTTTAGTATGGGATTCGTGAGCATTGTGTATCCACGACCCCTCTCCAAACTAGTCACTAGTGAGCACATGATTATTGATGGTCATCCGGACAGAGTTGATTGAGTGTGAGGAGTTAGTTCCTCACGTGCTGGTAGGTGTCGATGAGTATACGTGAATGAAGTGAGTGAGATATGTAAGGTGAATGACCACTGACCAGTTACCAGTGACTCCACACCTTCAATATCATCATTCGGATTATTACAGTAAAGAAACCACACTATTCTAATGATGGAATGAATCAAATAATGAAACGTCACAATCACAATAACAATTACACTATCACAACACTCAACAACTTACCAACTTTAATGAAACAATCATTCAATGACAAATTGTGTCGAATGGAATTACGCCATCCTGGTCCACGTGTACTGAAATATGGATAACGTAGTTGAATCCATTGATAGATATCCGATAATATCATTCGTCTTTCTTGTGTACTGAGTATGGCCTTTGCAATCAATCCTAGAAGGTTTGTAATTAATTGAAGAGAATAAACAAATGATCAATTTTACTGAATAATTTGTTATTGAATGACAAGTCAATTGAGATTTAAGTGTGCACTACTGGAATTACCAATTCATTCGCTGATTACTTTGAAATACTAGTTCTCTATCTGTTGAAGCTTAGTGTGCACGCGTTAATTCTGTGAGTGGATAACTCGTCACGAGTCACCACAATCATGATGCGAACAAGGTGTTTGATGGTGGATTGAGAACATGGTGAAATTGGATGTTGTGTTGTTGATATTCGTTTGATTGTATAAAATCGATGTCAATTGTGTAAATTATACGTTAAGACTGTTGTACGTTCAGTAGTGCTATTTAGTACTAAAGTCAACAACGTAATCTCTGACTGACTGATTATCTATCACTATGGTACATATTCCGCTGTTATTAATTGAGTCCCAACATTCCCCTAAACACGTTTGTTCCACAGATCTATTTATTGATAATTGTTATGTAACATGGTTGAGATTGATTTTCGAATCGGTAATAATTCCTTTGATCATAGTGATCAAATGACATCACTTCATGATGTCGTATATTCGAGTCAATTCGAAATTCCTATAGTGAAATGATTATGGTAAGAGTGTACAGTTTTCACTAATTATTTTGTGCAACATTCAACAACTACTTATTAGTAGACAAATGTAAAGAGGAAATGATGAGGTAGATCATTTATCTTGCCATCTATCCTAGATGGAAAGAAGACCTACACAAACAATCACAAATGAATTCTATCAGTTCACTTTCCAATGAGTTTGTTTCCATTTCCGATCATCAGTTGTGTGGTTATTACTACTGAATAGTGATGATAATACTAGTGAATATGAAGAATAATTGAGACAATTCAGAGAGACGATAATTTTCATTTCGACTTTATCACATATGGAATTCATCATTCACCATATATGTACTGTTCATTTAAATGTTACCTTCATTCGACTCATAATTGTACACCATAATTATGAATGATTATGCATACTACATCTATCATTATTATTATTATTGTTATTGTTATTATTATTATAGGGTGAGTGTGAAAAGAGAGGTGTTACTGTTTTCACAGTACATACACTCAATCACAAACAAGCGAATGATTGTTGCAAACCACTCTGTGAGAAACAGCAATGAAACTGTTTGTTTTGATTACAGTCTACATCAATCTGAGATGTATAATCCCCCCACACACACACACTGTTAGCTGACAGGCAAATTATCATAACACTTGATCAGGATATATTAACACACTGTTCTCTTCTATTTGAATCCATGTGTAATTGGTGAATAGATGTGAATGATACATGAAAATCAAAACACTTTAAAAATTAATTGAAGGTTACTTGACATTCTGTTTACCAGGACAATTGAAACACCCCTACACACACACAAACAAACAAACTGATTGTCATCGATTACACTATAACACAACTCCTGTTCATAACCTCATCACCATCATCATCACCGATATCAGAAATGATTATTGATAATATTCTCTACCGATCAGTGTTAATTAACATTCAAAGAAAAACAACAAACACACACACACACACGTACACTTCAATGAAAGGAATTTGAAAGTGGATTGCATTACACAATCAATTATGATTACGTCATAAGTGGTCATTAGTAATAATAATAAGTTATTATTCCTTGTAATGATAAGTTGAAATGGAAGGTGGATTCTATATGGAATAATCGATCACCAATAAAATGGATGTAGATTAAAGCAAATTGTATGGGAAATGTGGAATGAATATTTGATATTATCATAGTAAGTATTGTGTAGTATTCCTCAACTTGACTTAATCGAATCAGTGATGTTAATGGGAACGTGTAAATAAAACAATCCGATTTGTGGTGATGTGTGTAAGGATGGTTCGTTGGCAAACTCAAGGAAGGTTCAAGAAACCCAGAAAGAGTCAAAGACATTCCATGCAATCACCGTTAGGGGTACATTCTAGAATGTCAACGTGTAGCTTCCCTATCGCATGAATAAGGACACGCTTTGTGCTTTTTGGCTGTCCGAAATGATGATTTACTTCAAGCCAAAAAACTATAAATACATGAGATTTTTGTACTATATTTGACACTGTTTGGTATAACATTCCTACTTACTAGTCTTCTGTCTTCTCTCTTGCGATGCTGCGGGTTCGATCTTTCAAGTAGTCTCGTAGTACGCGACATAGCAAGAACCTAAAGCTCTACATATAACAATAAGTAAATCCACTATTGCACATTCGAAGTCTCTTCCATCTCTGTTTGGATTTTACGATACTAGTTGTATTACTGTTCAACACCATTGAATCAGTGGTTGAGTGATGAATATTTCCAGATAATTCCTAATGCTTAGAAGATGTCAGTCGTCCTAATAACCATCATTTGATAACTCCAAACAGGGTATTAAATACAGATTACCATTCGAAGTGTTGATCACTGTTGATTATTGTACAACTCAGAGCATAAATTCACAAGCACACAACTGGAATATGAGAAGAAATGTGAATGAGAGGTATTGAGGGTGATTAATGTAGACGAATGAATTGATAAGATTTAGGGAGCACATTTATGTATATTTATGGGAATCGAATGAGTGACTGAACGATTTAAGCAATTAACATTTCAGTTAGTAAGAGGGAAATCAATGAAGTCTGTGACACATGACTAAGCATACATTCTCATACACACAAGATAATAATAGTAATAACACGAATATGTAGACAACTAGTTACTGTTCTAATTAGACAATCTGTTGAATAAATTAACTGAAGGACTAAACAAAATTACAAAAATACATACTGGTGTTGGTGGGATGCTGTACTCTGTGGAACTCCACAAATTACTACTAATATTCAATGTCCACATTTGATGTGAACAATTAAAACTGCAGAAAGACAGTTTGTGGTGGACAGTATAACACTATCTACTGGAGGTCCGGAATGACGAGCTACTATGTCTTGTGAATTCATCAGAAACCACACTGTTAAAGTATAGTTGAATATGATTGAATATTCTGTGTTTTCGGAAGATGTCTGATCATGAAATAACTCAATCGAACTGATGATGTGAAGTATTTCACTGTGATGTTGTCAGGTACAAATGACAACAGTGATCTCTGAATAGATCCAGTTATATTCAGAGTAATAAGATGGAGTGATATGATTATCTACATTTTATGTAATCCATCCTCCATTGAGGTCGATAAATGTACCATCTGACCAACAGATTTTACATTGCAATCCGATATTTTCAGTAATGATGAGAATGCAGTTGGTAAAGTGGTGCTGAGTGGGATGGAAGTGTAATGACACCAACTGAGAAGTTTAGAATCTATATGTATACATTTCAATATATACAACCCAGGTCTCAATCACTATGGGAATCATCAATCAACATTTGATGGGATGAAGAAGGAGGTGGTTATCGTGCCACAGTAATCAACCTATCGAATCATCACTCATAACAATTGAACAAGAGCATTCTATCAAATGAGAACTAATGTTGAATACCGTGTTTGTCTATGTGCACTTACAATCCAGTAGTGTTTTATCTACATTTGAACAACTGAGTGGAATATTCGAACTACATTGAACATATTTCTGGTAAAATCATCAATTGCGAAATCAAAAATCATAAGCCACAGCTAAATAGTGGAACGGATAATTGACTAATCTGAAGTCAACAGAGATCAAGTCGATTCAGCAGTGTTACACGATCACAAGCAGATTTAACTCAGAAATTGTGTTCATTGAATCATATGAGACACATTACAGACAGTCGGTATATCAGTTTAGATTAAATGATATGATGGTATGCATTCGACCTCTGTGACGTGTTCTAATTCATCGAACATTCATTTGTTTGTCAATATTGAATTTTTGTGACAGTTCAATTAAGATCCAGCTACTGGTAGCCAATTTCTCATTCTATATTTTCAACGGAAATATTATCATCAGAAGGGCTTTTTGCGGATATTATAGTAATTTCAATAGTTTAGATCATGAGTTAACTGAAGCTAGATGCGGAATCGTGGAAATTCCCTTCTGAAGGGTCCCACAATAGGACGAGACGGCCGTCCAGTACTTACAGGTTTTCCATGGTGGTCTAGCTTCACTTGACTAATGATCTCAACTATTGAAAATATTATTGTTCAGAGTTATTAAATTCGAACTACTGAATTGTTATGAGTGTGTACGTAGGAATGAATGGAGAGAATGTGTGTTTCGTACTATGGCAAACTCGTATTCACTAACTTGTGTTCTCCCAACTACAATTAAAGAAATGTTGTCTCGATTAATTAGTGTAGGTATTCTCTCGTTGTTGGTTTATATTTCAGGAATGAGTGGATTAGTCGTTTGTCATGCATATGGCACTTGAACAGATGTCAGAGTGTCACAAACATTTCACGTAAACAGTTAATCGTGTTTAATGGAAGATACTACAGGGTGCGTTTCATTCCACTAGGAATGAACTCCCTCATCAATTCAGTCATGAAAATACCGACCCCACCACAAATATCACTTCCTCATTTACAATCAGCCACAGAGTATATCGACTATTCCTTGTTGAAAATGAATGTGGTATCCAACAAATAATTCAGTCAATGAAATCAACAAAGAATATCCTATGTATCTCACTGAAATTGTCATGCATTCATTCAATCAATCATTTAACTAATCAACTACAGACTTACCAATATAACTGAAATTCGGTTTCGGTTCATCTTCTGTGATCAGATCACATGGTTTGATATTGTGAGACTGGAACTGTTGTTGTTGTTGTAGTTGTTGATGGTTATGGCGATGGTGATTGTTATGATGACGATGATGTTGACGACGTTGTGAATGATGATTACGATGTAATCTCATCGTTTTGGTCACATTCAGTGTGGCATCTTCTACAGGAGGATTGACATTATTCATCTGTACATTGTTCCATCGATTGATGTAATTGTGATATGGATTGAACAAGGAGTTGTACTGTTGTACACCAGAATGAAGATGTCGATTATAATTCTCATTGTAATGATGAATAGTATTTGGATGAAGAGGTGATGTTTCGAATGGTAGACTGAATGGATCTGTTTGCAAGGAACATGAATGAGAATAACTGTGATTATCCATGGTGTGAATCAGAGATGTAGAAAAGGTAGAATTGGGAATGGGTAATACCGATGAGATCATTTGTGTAGTTTGTGGTATAAACCAGTTGGATGTTGAATGGGTAATGTTATTATTATGATTATTAATGTTATCATCGTGACTATCATACATTTGCATGAATTGATGATGATTGGAGAAGATGTTTGATGGAAGTGTATTATTACATGACATGATATAAGAAACGAGTGAATAGTGAGTTTGCAAAAATTCCGTGAATGTGAATGTCAGTGGAGTGGTATTTGGAAGTGGTTACTTTGATGCTTTCTATTCAATATGATTGATTTATTCCTTGTGTATTCCACATCACATCCAAGTGATGAATCGTAATGAACAATCACTGTTCACAATTGTAATGTTAATGTTCTCTATTACAATAATAAGTAGTATCAATAGTGTGTGTGTGTGTGTGAAGAAGATAATGTGATTCTGTGTCAATCAAACGAACTGGATAATTGTTAGGGCAAAAATCAACAGGTTTATTGAATTGTCTACCTCTACATTGGTTCATAATGAATGGACCAATGAGAACACAATGGGATTGAACGCATCATTGACTGATTGGTTGAAAGTAATGGGGGGGGAGAGAATGAGAAAAATTTGATGAATGAGAGGAGTGGAATCAAATAAGGATGGTTGAACTTCTTGTTGTTGTTGTTGTTGATGTCCTCGTGTTGTTGTTATGATGGTTAATTGAATGTGTATGTGTCTGTGGTGATTATATTCATTGTTTGTTTGTAGAAATTCATGAGAAAAGGAGGAGGGGGGAAGTGTGTTTGATATGAATATCATCTGTTTACTGATGAAGATAGAAAAATTGTGACCAAAGGTAGATTTGAAGTCGAATAAGCCATCACAACTGACTCGATGTCTGCTGTCCGTTGTCTTAGTTTATGTGTGTGTGTGTGTGTAACAGTGACACTTCTGAGGTTATCACTGATTACCATAAGGTTTCAGATATTCATTCTAGTATAACCCTTTATCCGAATATTTGTTCCTTTCCATTTCTCATATGTATGTGTAATATTCATTGATCATAATTTAGACTATAGTTAGATGACTTTTAATTTTGACTTAGTAGATGATTTCATGTTATTGTATAATTTGAAGACGAAAGTCGGTAGTGAATGAGGATCTTGATATATGGTGCCGATGTGTCGTTCGAGTTCATCAGAGTTTAACTTAATTTTGCAAGATTGTTATGAACCTGTATTTACACTCACATTCTGTAATAATTGTGATTGAATGGAAATATTTGATGTGTTCATATAACTGAGTAGTAGTGTTGATACTCATAGTAGTAGTCGTCATTTCAGTTATTGTGTCATTCCTGGAAGATTGTAGTAGTATAAGGCATCGACATATTTTAATCATTCATGTGAAATACACAAGAGGCAACTGAGTTTCCAATCCGATGGTATTCCATTGTAGTGGTTAACTAGTCATTGAGAGATAGACAGATACATATTATCCCTTATTGTGAATGTTGTCTTGTCAAATTTCCATTCATTCGGCTTGTGGTTTATCATAAATCCACCGACACTGTTTAGTCTCATTTCTCTGTTATGTATTTTCTAAAATTGACACACACACACACAAACATGCGAAATTTGCCCCCATTCATAATTTCAAATTGAGAACACTAGTAAACAAACAGTTAATAACGTTTTACATTTCAAACACACAGATGATGTTTACTTTAGATTGTGGAGCACTACTTAACACAATTGATAAACCACAATACACAATGCATAGAATAAGTGCCCTTTCATTATTAAATTGATCAGTACATATGCTAATCAACTAATGTAATTTACGTTGGTGTCAAGATACACAAACTGGTGTCTATGTAACGATTACGGATGGTTGATAATTTCATTCGTTGAGCTTTATCTGAAATGGGTCAGACCATTCAACTAGTCAGTAGATTAAATCTCATATGGCTTCGATCAATCTTTAGAGTTGTGCCGCTATTCGTTTCAGAACATGAATGAACAAATAATTGTAGAATTTCAAAGTTGTAGAACATCTGAATAAGATTGAATCGTTGACATTTTCAGTGGAACTGTTGACATTTGCACTGTTGTATTTAAGCTGAGACGAAACAGATTTGCAATATTCCAATGGTGTATTACAACCATAATTCTGTCAACTGTTCCACACGTTTGACTCTCATTTTGAACAGTTTTGTTTGATGGATACTGTTCTTGTCTCTTCTGACTCATTAAGTCTCCGTTCTGAGACTAACAGTTTTAGAGAGAATGGATATGATTTCCTAATACTGATTGGTCACCTTCACATCAATAGTGGTTGGGGTGAACATAACCAATTATCCCAATCACCTTCAATAGGCATTTTCCAACTGAGATGAGTATTCGGATTGAAGGGCATGTGTCAATCGTCTGTTCTCAGCTCAGTGATTTGAAATCACCAACAATCAACTGGTATTTCGAAGTTGCAGTCAGTCGATAATCTATGTGAATATCACCATCACAATAATGTATCCTACATCAAGTTGGATCCCTAAGTCATTTGTACGTGATCTCCTTCATTTGCTAGTATTTCTTCCTGCTCTCGATTTACTCAACTACTCCGACACATCACAGTTTTGTAAAATCAATTGATCAATGTATGGAAATTATGGAATGCATAATGTTTTGGTAAGAAATATTACGGATAGTTGAAATCATTCTCCCTCAGTTGCAATGCCAACTTCTCACCACCCACACGGTTACAATTTCTCCATTTGTCAATGAGTTCACATGAGCATAGAATATGAATTATACTAAATTATAGGTCTGTAAGTTGACGTAGTAATCGTAGATTGAATTTGATCACAGATTCATTTCATAACCACTTTCAACTTAACCCATTATTACAATGATGAATTGGTGTGTCGGTATGTTGAATGGGCAAACACAGATAACAATGTAAACTGGATTGTAGAATTGATTTATGTATGTCAACATTAAACAATATGTGATTATACTCTACTCTCAGTCTCCCTCTTTCTCTCTTTCTCTCTCACACACACACACATTCTGGGAGTGTATGTTGTGGGCATTTGGTATGTAGCAACTTGATTATTAGACTAATACAATGAATATGATTGTATATTGTGTAGATGTGATATGATATTTAGTTGCTGTTGTTATCATGACAACTTGATAAGATAACGGATATTGGTGTAAGATAACTTGAAGTGACCACTTATTATAATAATTAACTCACATTGATATGGTCATCATTGTTGACTGACTGTTGAATGAAGACGAAGTGAATAGGGAAACGAATGTTGATGAATCGGATGAGTTTATAAATGATTAGATGGTATGAATTGGATCTATTTGAGGTGAATGTGGTTGGAGTTGTGTTTAGTAAATCTGACGTCATTGTGAGTTGTAGATAATGTAATGCTACACACCACAATGGAAGTGGTATATTTCAATCTGTTTAACATAATTTATTCTATGGAAACACCTTCTGATAAACACACAGCATGTAAACCGCTCTCGTTCTAGGTATTGATTCCATCAACTATTTGTTCGTGTACATATATATTGATGATTGTGTTAGGATCTCATATGATATTGATTGAATTATTGATTGTCAGGAACTGAACAGATAAATAATCGATGTGTTGAATTTCATCTTCATCTTGTATGTCATGGAATTGAAATTCATCAACTCAAATCCTCTTTGAAGTGATCATGCAGTCAATAGAAGGTCCGACAAAGTGTTTGCTAATCGAGTTAGTGAATTTGCAAAATACAACAGACTTGTGTGTCGGATTCCATTAACACTGACTATATGGATTCGAACTATCGAATATTGCATGATTCGATGTTGTGTCTTACAAATCACCAAACTTCACATTTATCATCTCGTCTCATGTTCTGAAATGATGAGAATGTTGGTGTGAGGATTGAAGTACAGTTAATCAACTATGACAATTTCGCTTGTCAATAAGTGAGTGGGTGGGTGAGGAAGAGTTGTCGTGAAGCATGATAATGATTATCGAACTGCAGTCGCAGTTCACAGACAGACTTCAATATTCAGTCACTAATATTACTAGTTCTGTTTGAGCTTAATGACTGGAATTCGTAATTCACCTGAATGAATTTCGTTTGAGGCAATCAACTGTTTGTTGTTAATCGAGAATGGATTGGACTAGTTTGTTCACATATCCTAGTTTAACTGATCGGAACTGATTTGAATTATCAGTAACATCAAATGATGTGATATGACGACTGACAACTTCGATTCGCGAATGACCATGAAGAATCTTACTCTTCAACACTTACTTCAATCAGTGTGTTTATCGATATTCAGTCAGAGTTTGTAGATAAGAGTAGGAGTGAACAGGATATGTTCAACTGTTTTCACAAAAGTACTAATTTTGTCTATGAATTATAGCAGTTACATTGAGTTGACTTGTATAAATGCACCGATTTTCACTGCAGCTCTATCCTTTCATCAAATCGTATGAAATATTCCAGTCAAATTTCGACACCGTTCGCCTCCTATGTTTGTGTTCATGAGAAATTCTGAATTTTCTTAGTTGAAAGCGTGAGTCAATCGAAGCTAGACCACCAAGGAAAACCTAGAAGCACTGGACAGCCGTTCCGTCCTATTGTGGGACTCCTCAGTAGTGTGCATCCACGACCTCGCGTCGCAAGATTAGAACGCAGGACCTACCAGTCTCGCGTCAGAGCACTTAACCGATAGACCACTGAGCCGGCATCCGATGATGTTAATGTCTAACTCCAACCAATTCATGAAGTTGAGCAACCATTCACCAATTGTCTTCGTGGATGCGCACTGCTGAGGAGTCCCACAATAGGACAACGGCCGTCCAATGCATCCAGGTTTTCCTTGGTGCTCTAGCTTCAATTGACTCACGCTTTCAACTATGAACATACTGAAATTTCCATAAAACCCCTTCGGATCAAATTCTGAATTGTTTTGTTTACACCTTTTCCTCTCTCATACTACGCATCAACACAAACACACACACGGAGAGAGAGAGACATACATCAAGTGAATTACGTCTTTTATTGTTATTATTATTATTCAAATATGAGATTGGATCATATGGCCACTTTGAATAAGTAGACTACCTACCACTTCTTACCACTTCTTACCACTTTCACAAGTGTATATACAATGAGATATGAAACACTCCCATTTTGTAGTTTCTCAATGATCTATGGGTCTGTTTGCTTGTTTATTTGTTTCACTGTTGTTGTTGTTGTTGTTGTTGTTGTTGTTTCCTCTTTAATTATTCACTTACCAATTATCAACTCAGTATGAGTCTAGATAGGAAGTATACGAATTGTCAATGATTGTTCTTGTTAATACTTCGTTCGAATAAACCCTACTTCTAATTAAACTTCTACTAATTAATATTGTCATTCATTAATAAACTGACTATTGAATGATTAGACT